TTTACTCCGACCTACCATCTCATTCGCACCACCCACCCCACATTCAACAACCATTCCACTCTCACCACGTGCACCCACCTCACTTTCACCAACCATTCCACTCTCACCACCCACTTCACTCACACCTACCATCTCATTCTCACCACCCACCTCACTTTCACCAACCATTCCACTCTCACCACCCACTTCACTCACACCTACCATCTCATTCTCACCACCCACCCCACATTCAACAACCATTCCACTCTCACCACGTGCACCCACCTCACTTTCACCAACCATTCCACTCTCACCACCCACTTCACTCACACCTACCATCTCATTCTCACCACCGCACTTCACTTTCACCAACCATTCCACTCTCACCACGTGCACCCACCTCACTTTCACCAACCATTCCACTCTCACCACCCACTTCACTCACACCTACCATCTCCATTCTCACCACCCACCCCACATTCAACAACCATTCCACTCTCACCACGTGCACCCACCTCACTTTCACCAACCATTCCACTCTCACCACCCACTTCACTCACACCTACCATCTCATTCTCACCACCCACCTCACTTTCACCAACCATTCCACTCTCACCACCCACTTCACTCACACCTACCATCTCATTCTCACCACCCACCCCACATTCAACAACCATTCCACTATCACCACCCATCTCACTCACACCTACCATCTCATTCTCACCACCCACCCCACATTTACCAACCATTCCACTATCACCACCCACCTCACTCACACCTACTATCCCATTCTCACCACCCACCTCACTTTTACCAATCATTCCACTCTCACCACCCACCTTACCCACACTTACTATCTCATTCTCGCTAACCACTTCACATTCAACAACCATTCCACTCTCACCACGTGCACCCACCTCACTTTCACCAACCATTCCACTCTCACCACCCACTTCATTCACACCTACCATCTCATTCTCACCACCCACCCCACATTCAACAACCATTCCACTCTCACCACGTGAACCCACCTCACTTTCACCAACCATTCCACTCTCACCACCCACTTCACTCACACCTA